GACCTGCCAAAAAAAATGTAAAAAATAATATCTCCACCCCAGTCCAGCAGGCTGCCACACAAACAGCCCGTGGGGGCTGTGAGCTATGGCACAGCTATAGAAATGCCAAGCCCTGATCTCTCTTTCTCATCTGACAGCAGAAAATAACCCATCCAGATGCACTGAGACTTAATGCTGGAAACGGTCAGATGTCCATGATGCCCTGACTCAGTGCCAGTGAGTAATAAGCACCTGATTAGGCAGTTTTGTATTCCAGTATTTAGGAGCAGGAAATTCAGCTATGAGCCAATGCTATAATTCAGCTGTTGACTTTGATACTTGTTCATATGTTTTTATTACACAGTATCCGGGAGATTTTTACTAAAGTCGGTACTTAAATGTCTAGCTGCATATTAGTTAAAAATATATGCAAACTGTATAGAAATATGTAGCGCTATGGTATAGCTGGGCAAAAACGCATTAGCTCTGTGTGGAGTATTTCAGGCAGGGGAAGAGCCAGTGCAGTGAAATACACAACTTTGATTTCAGCAACTTGCAAGAAACATTGGCAAGAAAAAAAACAGAAGAACTGGTAAGAAAAAATTAGTTTGTACTGGCAACCTTTTAATGGATTTCTGTGTCCACCTGAGCAGTTTGTGGATTAACTGCCTGTATAATTCCTCAGCAGCAGGATTAGCTATCTGACACAAAGATAATTTACTTTTTATTAGAGGTGCTTTATGCAAACTGTAAATAGGTGGGAAAGAATACAGGACACTGAAAATCCTGGGGGGGAAACACCCAGAGAAGGGGGCTGTGCTTCTTGAAAGTGAGATTTAGGACCTGTTATAGGGGTAGTTAGTGACTTCTTAGAAAAAATGGATGGTGCCTTGTCATACAATCCTGCGATCTTCACTCAGCAACCATAAACCAAAGTAAAAAGGAAACTTTGACTATATCCAAGCCAACAATGTTGCAATTTGAAAATTAAAGATACACAGGACCATTACAGTGGAAGAGCAGTGGCTGCTTTTTAACCAGATTGGTGTCAGTTTACATCAAGAAGTGATTTTTGAGTTTCTTTTTTTCTCTTGGGAGCTGCCAAATTTGACCTGAAGACAGACATGAAAGTTTCTTCAGAGTCTGAAAAAAATTGGCTGGGTTTGGAGTTGCAGGTGTTAAAACAAGGCCAGTGCTCTGACACGGTGTACTCTGCCTTTTCACCCTGTTTCTAGCTCAAAGCCATCCTGATGGCTGTGATTTCAGCTACTTAAAGTTATACATAAAGGTCTCTCAACAAAATATGGGAGGAATAATCTTCTGTGCTGTGTTAGGGCCTTGCCATGCTACTGAAACCAGGGGTATTCCTGTGCTGAAGGCCTGCTCTCCTACCTGGGGCTGCGCTCAGGTGGCAGCAGGCCGTGTTCTCGCTGGCAACGTATGGGTTTCTTGCTTCAGTTTGAAACATAAAGCATCGACTTTTGGCAGACTGGGATTAACAAAGTTTCTTTGAGTGGAGCATTGTGTACCAATTAATTGACAAATGCCTGTGTCCTTCGCTAATGCAACAAACTTTAGCCTTTACAAGCCATTCTTTTACTCACATTCACGATTTGGGAAATAGATTTATATCTGTAAGTAAACCTTTTAAAGCTACGTTTATATAAATAGACCTTTTAAAGCTACATTTAAACACAGTAGGGCCTAGGACTACCAGGTCTGTACAATTAAATGTGCATGAACCATTGAAAAGTTGATCTTATGTTAAAATTTATTTTGAAATCCTCTATAGCCACATTCATAGCTTTTCACATTAACATGAATAATTCAGACTCTGTACCAGTGGCGAATTCTTTCTCTTGAAGTTGCAAAAAAAAGCATCACTAGGAATTGTTTGGATGCATCTCATAAAAAGACTAATTATGCTAATTTTACTGAGCATCATTATTATAGCAATGTTGCATCTGGCTGTGGGAAAGGACTGTATTTCTCTCTCCATGATATTAGGAAAGATGCTGAAACCCAGATTTTAGCACCCTTGACTGAACAGGATTAATTAACTTCAGAAATGAAAAGTCTTGCTAATCGATCGTTCCATTTAAAATTCATTCACTGCTGATCTTGTGGGTTTTGCATGCCGTATGAGTCCCTGGAAGTCGCTAGACACAGAAATTGGCACTGTGTTCGCCAAGCTGCGCTGCGTGGTGATGCTCAGATGAGCTGACATCCTTCGGGGCTGCAGTGGAGACCCAACACCCGTGAGAGAAAACAAAAACAAGTAGGAAAACATGATAGCTGGGATATGGGGAGCAGCAGGGACTCCGTAGCCGGTGACCATCAGCAAAGCCATTTTCAAGCCCCGTCTGCGGGGGTTGTCTCTGTGCTGCTGCTGCTGCTTCTCTGGTGATAGGGAGAGCTTTATCCTGCTGCGGCTGCGGGTGAGGAGGTCCTGCCTGCCCTCCACTGCCTCCTCAGACCACCAAAATCTTGTTCCATGGCTGTCAGCTGCTTGATAGCAGCTTCTTGATAATGCATATAGCAATCTGTTCATAAATCAGCAGAGCAGAGCCCTCGCGGGGCTCGTCCTAGCTTTCACAGTATAAAATACAAGCATTATTGGCCTGTCCATCATCCCTGCAGGACGAGCATTTTGTAGTTTTTGCTCTCTTTGGCACCCAAATTACTGCAGCCTCTATTGAGGAAAAGGCTAGCGAAGCGCCTCAGGGAAACTGAAAAGGAGAAAAGTCGTAGAAAAGTTTAGCCTCGACTTCTGGCTAAGAGGTTCCATGTATTGCTGGAAGAGTTCAGTAGGGTTTCAATAGAGAGGCAGCATTTCTCTTTATATTGAAAGCACAGGCTCGACACCAAATTGAGTATCTGGCATTGAGCATCACGAGGATGTATTGTGACTGTTTCCTCTTTGGAGGGCAGCCAGCCCTTGCACTGCAGCAGAGGCAGGGTCCGAATCAGAAGGGACTTGCCCTGGCCCCATCTTTTAAGAGCAAGCACAGCCTGTCTGTCAGCTGGGGACGGGAAAAGAGACTTACAGTGCTGCTGGAGCCATGCTTCCCAGGTGGAGAAACAAGGCTAGCAGTGGGCTTCCCTCCTGCATGCCCGATGCTCTCACCAGGCCAGTGCCCTGAGCTGTAGGGGGGCTCAAGGGGCTTAACAAATACCTGTAAATCTGTTAGTGCCCCAGCAGACAGCTGCTAACCTAAAAGAGGTGAGATCATGGGAACCTTTAAAGCTCTTACCTGCCTTTGTTTGAGCCTGGCAGCCCCCTCCACTCCATTTCTTTTCCCCTATGCAAAAACCAATTAATACTCTCTTTTTCTAAACAGTCCAAAAAGTTTTGTTGCACCCCTAAAGCTACTTGACTAGATGAGAAGGTTGTTGTTTTTTTTTTTTTAAATGAAGCAAATGAACCTCATGGTTCTTAAGGTCCAGGAAAGGTTGACCAGAAACCATCTAAGAAAACCATGTCCCCTTTAAACATGTAGATGTGGTGCTGAGGGACATGGTTTAGTGGTGGACTTGGCAGTGCTAGGTTAATGGTTGGACTTGATGACCTTAAAGGTCTTTTCCAACCTAAATGATTCTATGATTCTCTGTCCAGCTAATTATTTGAACATTGAAATCAGGTTTGAAGCATAACAGGGCTGCAATTTGTCAGCTATTGCACTTACATAGATAGATTTCAGCAGGCACACAGGCATCGTGAAGTCTCTGAAGCATTTCTAAGAGATACTTATCCCTTTTGCACTGAGCTTCTGGAGTAGATTGACCATCACTTAAAAGCAATCCTCTTTCAAAGGATAATCAGACAATACTAATTCTCTCAAGGCTGCCAGGTGGATTTATGGCTGTGCGACACAGCAGGTATTTGAGTTATCTGAGAGTGAAGGAAAATGTAGCTGAATATTTCAGTCATTGAAAGAATTTTTGAGTGAGGATCTAGCAATTTGGCAGATTTGAGCAGGTCTGAATGACATTAGGGCTGAGATTCAGACTCTGACTCTATTGGATGGTTGTATATTACTTATTATAATATTGTATAAATCCAGCCTTTTATTGTAGCTGTATGTTTGATTTCACAAGCTGCCACAATCTGCTTCACTCTTGCTCAGTTGCAGAAAGTATCTAAATTAACAAAGTGTTTATTGTCAACAAAAATTTTATAAGATAGGTAGAAAATTGGTTGGAGGTGAGCTACTTAATAAATAACAGAAACAAAGGCAGTCTCACTTTTGAAGCGGAATATTCTTGGTTGTATCCTTGGAAGTGAACCCTGTGTTATTACCATTTGGCAAAAAGACTTTGGTTTAGTTTTGTCAGAAAACAGCACTTCAGCTGAGGAGGTCCAGCAATTTGTAGGAGCGATAATGAAATAAAAGCTCATAATTTTCACTTGTTTCTTTACTGTTCGTGGTAAGAATTGAAAACAGACCAGTGACCAGCCCTGCTAATATTATGGGATTTCACAAGGAGGGAAAGTTGGGGAACCAGAGCACCAGTATGAGTCCATTTCTTTGTTCTGCCAAGTTCTTCCTTTGTGGTCCTGGTCAGTTCACAAGTGACCTCATCCCTTCAGCTTTCCAAGGCATGTTGAAAGAGATGAGAATAACGTTGGCTTGTTCATCCGTTAGGAGATAAAAAGAAAGAAGTGAGGTTGACATGACCATTATAACTTGATCCTTGATGTGTTCAGTCCAGGAACTGACAAGTTCCCTGTTGACTGGAGCAAGTCCCTTAGATGCCACCAGCATATCTGGGCTGAATCGATGATTTCAGAAGACAGGAGAGGGTTTATGTTAAATTTTGAATTACAGCCATGTTCGTACTTGTGTTGATGCCATTGCTTGTACTGCAAGTGAAGGACATTCACCACCAGAGTTGATTGTCACCAACCATGAGGGTTTCTTGTAGAAAGTAAGAAAATGACAGCTTTTTATTTCTCTGTATCTCTGTTATTTTGGGGAAAGCAAAGGGATAAACAGGAATAGACTGTATTTATGTACTTTGGCACTGGCAACAGATGGAGTTTGATGAGCTAGTTGTTCAGTACTGATGGCAAAGTCTCATTGCCTTGTACTATAAAATGCTTCTGTCTGTTTTATTTAATGGGGTCTCATTAAACCATAACTCCTGTTAAACATTTTATATATAGTTTATTTAGGGAAAGGAATAAACAACTATAATCAACAATTAGGAAGTTCTGTACTCTGCAGCTAAAAGGATTTCCTAGAAGATAATTCTATCTAACATACAAATACAGAGCCCTAAGTCATAAAGAATACGTGCCGTTTCCTCAAATGAAAGATAAACACAATATACATCCATTATTCACTCAGTACAGGAACATGCACGTTATGCACTTGTGGACATTTTAGAAATGCGTAAGAATAGTTGGCTAAATGCAGTCCTTGCAATCACTCACATGTGATTTTAACCAAACTGAAGTATGAATTGCTATTAAAGAGGACACAAAGCTTGATCCATCAAAGCATCCTAATACAACATTATTCATACACAATCAATATGTGGAATTGCAGCCTTTGTGTTTAATGTGTCTGTCATGAAAATGCTTATTGAACAACATCAGGTAGAATAGAAAACCAAGTACAATGTAATTAAATGCTAATGTGCCCACATAGCAAATATTCACGTAGTAACCACTGATGAATGGCTGTCACTGTAGTCCAATGCCAATCGAACAGACTTTCATTGTAAATAATCTATTCTTGGGCTTTCTATGAAAAAGTGATAGCAAATGTGTGACATTCCATTGTCTTCTGCTACGTAAATCGAGGACAGGAAGTTAGTCAATGCTGGAATTACTCTCCACATCTGGGACCAAAAAAAAAAATAATGCAAATGCATAAATAAATCTTTTGGGCCCTTTCAAGATTTGTATTCTGCTTTAGTATGAAGCATATATTGTGCACAATAGTGCGGATGACAACGCAGTTTGCAGAAGGATGAACCATTGAACTTCATCTCCTTTGTTCTATTTGCAGGTACAGAAATGAACGTGAATATCAGCAGAGGCTAAAAGCGACCCTCGAACGCCTTAATAAGGTGAGCCTGGAAAAACAGGAAAGGAAAAGTCTTTATCATTTTTTTCCTTTGGTTTCGTTTGCTATAGCAAGCTGCTTTGAAGAAGCAGTGGGAAGATAAAATGCCAGAGTAAGACATTTCTTGTCATTATGCACTGATGAAAAGTTCTCCTTCCCCTCCATTCCCCTCCCTAAGCCTTGTGCAAATGGCTGAGCCTCAGCGTGTGTGTACGCCCTGTGTAGCGCCCTGCTCTGTACAGTCCTGCTGCTGTTGGTCATGTAGCACGTGCTATCTGCAACCCACAGCCTCAGCTATGCTCAGGACTTGATTACCTTTTCAGTAAGACCAAGGACTAGGAGGTTCTACTGCGTAACACTCGTTTTACAGCATCAGCAAATGGCTCCTGCATTCAGTTTGGGACCTGGAATTGAAATAGGTGTTGTTTCTTTCACATCCAATGTGAACTTTGCAAATTCACCTTTGCTGAAGATCTGGGACATGTTTAGGTGCCTTTAATAGCTCTTGTTAACTCTTTTAACACTCTTTTTTTTGAACTCAGATGACAATTTCTCTCTGAGTGAATCAGAGTCTGCACACAGAGATAGGAAGAGCCCATTTATTAGTCATACTGTGTAGCCGATACACATATCTAAGAGTCTGGAATATGACCAGAGAAAACGTGTTTGTTGCTAAATACCTTCTTCCCCCCCTTTTTTAATACAGCTACTGTATTAAAGTTTATTTAGAACTGATATCATGGCATGAGAAAATGCTGATTGTGTCCAAGTCTTGAAGTCTGGTGGGTCTCAAAGTTCCTCAGTCCCTTGCAGGATATGGTCGACCCTTCCCAGGACAGACCCTCAGCTTCCCATTAGGTTTCCAAATAAAAGAGAAGCCACAAAACCCCCTGATTGGTTCCTTTCAAAGTGAAACATGAGGAATGTTTACATCGAGCTGCACTTTCCTGAACTAATACTATGGAAAGAGAAATAATAATAATAATGCTCAGAGAAAAGATAAAAGTTTACTGACATGTTTAGGAAGTTTACAAACCAGGTCTGTGAAACTGAGAAAGCCTGATTCATCCTCTCTGGCTACTAGCTTTCATCTGAGCGAAGAAAGTTGTATTATATCTTTCCCCAGTTCTGTTTTTCACAGTTTATCCTTTATCTTTTGTATTGCGAAACAATTACAGGTGGATTAAATAGAGATTTTTTTTATTTCCCTGCTACAAATGGCAGGAGCTGTTCTGCTTGAGCACTGTCATATCAATGATATGCATATTTTATATTAAAAAGAAATGTGAGTTTTAGCATTTCTGTCTTTAATGAGCTCTAGATATCTTGCATTAGTGCTATTTTCCAGTGTGCTAGCAGGGCTCTTGGACACCCTGCGAGCTCTTAAAAATACTTGTGGAGGCAAATATTTTGTAAGAGGTAGCTGGAACTGGTGGGTCCATCTTCACGGTTCCTCTCAGCCAATCTGTGGCTAAAGAAAAGTGGGTTGATTTGACAACCCCAGGCACAGCTGACAAGATCGTGAGCCACGGGAGGTGTTTCTATCTCAGGCTGCGTCTGGGCTGGCCCTGTTGCAGCAGCTCCTTGTATTGGGGCACCAAATGCTGGAGGGAACACAGCTGATTTTCCGTACAGTGCCCAAGACGTAGCCTGAAACCTGCACATGCAGATGTAAGCTCGTGCCTTTTCCGACAGATGGAGAATCAGTTTGGAAAATCAGCAAACAGTGGTTTTGGTGAGATCTAAGGGATTTCTTTTCCACAGTAAATGAAAATGCTGCTTAATCACATGGATCAACTTTCTAGAATCAGCACCTAAAGCAGAATGGTTTTTTGGCAGTTGAGTCAATAGCAAATACTGCAAAGTTCAGAAGAAAATGTGTAGGCACTGCACTGTTCTGATACGCAGCATCAATGCAGCTGGTCTATCTGAAAGCAGGGAATAAAAGCAGAAGTATTTCTCCCCTTTGAAGGAACGTTTGGAAAGCTGAATGGTGCTTTTGCTTATTACACGCAGAAATATTTGCTTATCAGTATTATCTAGGGGCCTGGGGGCTTTTTTTGGCTCCCCCCTAAACCTCCCAACATGGCCATTGTCCTGCTGATCTTCCTCTCAATAGGAAGGCAGAGGAGTGCAGAAAAGCAGCGGGAATTCCTGATGACTGGCTCCGAATGTGCTGGTCTGGATGTGTCTGAATGAGCCGCTGTCTCACAAAGCAGAGAGACCACTGGAGAGGTCTCTGGCTGGGAGGCTCAGCAGCATAATGAGACAGCTAACATCTACACATTTTTGGAATAGCGCATGCTGTGCACGTGCAAAAAGAAAAATCCCCTTCTACCAGTCATATGCTGTACTCATAGATTTCAGTCTTTTATTTGCAACCCGTGATCCACTCACTGAGATATTTATAGCCGGTAATGGCACGTAGGTAATTTTAAAGGGACACCTTTTTTTGTTTGTTTGTTTTTTAAATCTCCTGCTCTTAGAAGTGACATCTCGTATTTTGGTAAGATGTCCTAGAGCTCAGTAGAGCTCTTCCAGCTGTAAAGCTGACTGTAAAGTCAGGACTTATATCCACCATTTTTGAATCACATGAACTGTGTGGTTGTTTCCAGTTAGGTCTCCTGTGAAGTACACCAAAGTTTTCTGAGAAATAACAATTGTAGCACCTTTGAGACTATGATGAGTGATACGGGTAGTGAAATTCAGATTTCTTGTTCTGTTCTTACCTATGGCATTGAGGTGCCACACATATATATATATATATATATATATATATATATATATAAAAAATAGATATAAAATAACTGTAATTAAA